CAGACTTGGGTGAATCCATAAGCCTTTCGCTGGAGTAAGAATAACTTTTTATTGCTGGAGTTGGAAGTGGGCTCTATCTTCATGAGAGCTTGGGTTGGGGTAATGGAAGGTCTTATGTGCCTCCACAAACAGCAGTGCAGCACAATGCCAACAACTTTGTGCGGCAACCATCTCTTCTGGCTGGGGACGGAATTTTTTTTTACGTCATAGCATATAGGTCTTTACCCTGTTTATTTCTTTCATCCTCGTGTCTTCTTCTTTTCACTGCCGTCATCTGGTTTTGCGATTGTTTCATTCTCTTCTTTACTTTTGCCCCAGATGCTTCTCTAGTTAACTTTCTTTAAGAGGTAGGAGAGCTTCTTCAGTGATGTGCTTCTGCTGTGGTGATGCTCCTGCTTTTGTCTTCTACTTTTGAGATTCATTCCCTCTTTTCAATTATAACACACAGGTGTTAGTACAGAAAAAAGATCAAGAATCTATCATTTAGACCTTAATTTTCTGTAGTCTTATGATCATTGATTCAAAGTATGGTCCAATTTCAATCATTTAGGATCAATCTTAACAACCTTTAGGTTAGATTTTATACTGCAGGGATTGCCTCCCATATGTGTACTGATTAGATAATGAACAGTCGTTTTATGTAGCTGTGACATGCCATTTATGTATAACTATCGAGGTGGGAATGTGCTTGCCATATCGACGTGGGAATTGGCTCTAGGCAATCTGTTGGGATGCAAGATCTCAGGCCTGGTGCTTGTGCTTTAGAATCTAGTATGGTGGAATCATCTAGAATCTAGTATTGTGGAATCCTTGTCAGTTTCCCACCTTGTGTTTCTGGATTCTCTCCCATGATTGACCCAAATTTTTACTTCCTGTTCTCCTACTCATGTTTGATACACATCACATTTTTTTCATGTCTAGTTCATGTTACGTTTCATGATACGTCCTTTATGGGGATATTATACTGCTTGTGCTGTTTTCAAGTTTTCAATTGGTAGGGATACTCTTCATAGAGATACATGTAATTGTATTGCACCTTGCTATTGTCCCTTTTTGTTCCTTTATTGACCATATTTTCATCCTAGAGTGACAAATTTTCCATGCTATTAATCGAATAGTTCAAATCAAAGTTTTAATTGTGATCTAGATGTGATAAAGTCATTCACTCGATTGGATGGTGACCAACATGTTGCTGTTTTCTTATCAACAGGCTGTGATAGCAATGGTGCAGCAGGCTATGCAATATGTTGACCAGACAACTGATCTTGAGACCAAGATAGGGCTTATTAAGACGCTTAACTCTGTTGCTGCTGGGAAGGTGAATATGTGTAATCAAACTCTATTTCAGCTTATATTCATTGGCAATCTGTTTTTGTTTCATGGTTTCTATAGCTAGTTTTGTCATGCCAGATATATGTCGAAATTGAGGTTGATCAAGAAACTTGCAAAAATAAAGGAAGAACAGGATCTTATAGCAGAAGCTACTGATTTGATGCAAGAAATCGGGGTAACTTGAATTTGACTTCTGTTGTCATGTAATTGGTTTTTCCTTGTCCAACATTCCTGTGATGGGTTTGAAGTGCAGGTAGAAAGTTTTGGAGCAACGGCAAAGACAGAGAAGATTGCCTTGATTTTTTAACAAGTACGGGTTTTTGTATTGCTTTTAGCCGTTTATGCACTATTACTATGATTGGTTTTCTGATCGATGGATTTTGCAGGTTCGTCTGTGCATAGATTGCCAGGATTATGTCTGTGCACATATCTTTTCCAGGAAGATCAGCCCCTGAGTGTTTGATGCAGATCCTTCTAAAGGGAAGAAAAAGCCTAAAGAAGGTGAAAACGTTGTGGAACAAGCGCCAGCTGATATTCCGTCTCTTCTGGAGTTGAAACGGATATACTATGACTCATGATAAGGTAAATTGGTGTGTTGCTTTTTCTGATGTTGTGTCTACTATCTTTTAGCTAATTTGTTTTTGCCGATCATGTACAATGAAACTTTATGGCTCTATATATCTGGCACATACTCTTCTTCCTTTCTAGCTTTATCGCAAACTCTGACGTTCCAGATGTACTCGATGGATTTGAACTCGCATCTTAGTATACCTCGCATTTATGTGGTTAACGACGTAGGTATTACTCACATAACAATGACTACCTTGAGATTTGTCGATACTATAAGGCGATATATGAGATTCCATCAGTGAAGGGCAACCCAGAGCAGTGGATACCGGTGAAGCTCTTTCCTTGTCAAGTCTTCACTGAGTTTTTCAAGGCACAGCTGTTCATTCTGTGATTTAATTGAATGCAGGTTCTAAGGCACATGAACCCATGCAGTCAAGCCTTCTTACTGCCACTTTAGAGGATAAACATCTCTCAGAAATTTCCCAATTCAGGTACCATCTTTGAATTGTTCTTGGTAATTGGTTGTACATCTTGCAATATCTCAATAATGTGCCATGGAATTTGGTCAACCATGCCTTTGATATTTTAACGCAGGTTGCTGCTGAAACAATTGGTCGCGATGGAGGTCATCCGATGGACTCCTCTTTAAAGTACTTTCAAAGATGAATTTGAGAATGAGAAAACATGCTAGGAGGTGCACATGTTGAGAAGGCAGCAGAAAATCTTAGACAGGGCCCAATCATAGTCAACAGAAGAATTTTGGCTTCTCCTGGGCGATACAAGCTACCTTTAGCTAGGAGCCTCTTCAGAGAATCATCGAACATGTAATTACAGAACTTGTCATTTTTCTTCTTTTCATTGGATCATCATTCAGATGTGGCTCACTCTATTTTCTGCAGAATATTAGTGCCATTTTGATGTATTGCTTGACGATTACCGTAAAGAGACTTGTAGAGCTGTTATGCCTCAGTATCCTGGTCTGATTATATGGAACATTTGTTTATGTTCTTTATCAATGTCACTCTTTATGAATGATTATCTAGACCCCTCATTTAACCCTGAGCAGCCTCTCTGCCTGTGATCCCTGATTGGGGCATGGTTGCTGGACTTGGATACAAGTTCCAAAATATGTGTAAAAGAGCTTTTGGTGCATTGAAAGCCAAAGGCTTGTCATGGATTTGAGAATGTTGTCTTCATAGTTTTGTTTCGTACACTTGGCTTAGTCAACTTCTGCTCATAAACTTATTGTAGCTGTAAGTGTCAGTGTCTGGCATTGTGAATCCATTTCTTGTGCCATGGAGCCTGAAATTCTAATGCGCTTTAGAAGGGTGGGAGGAATGATCTCTCTCCCCTCGAGCCTCTCTCTCTCTCTCTCACCGAAGAATGCTGTTTCACATTGTGGTCTGAAGTGGGGACTGGAGATATTCATCATAGAACTCTCGCGTAGCTGTCTTAAATTTGATTGCATATTTTGCAGGGGGACCAGTTCCGGGCCTTGTTTCGGACTGAAATGATATACTAAATACACTTTCTGTATAGGAATGTAGTTTGTTCTTGTCATCTTTCCTCTTTCCTCTTTACCCCCTCCTTTTAATTGAAGATTTGCGGGCTTTTCAGTATCCAGAACTTGTCCCAATGTAATAGTTAGCGGCACGAGATGTGCACTCATTTGGACTGAAATAAGCGCCTTGTTACAGAATTGTGTTTCGCACTACAAATATTGCCAGTGCTTGTGTTTTTCCAACATCAGGGATAACATTAGCTCTCCAGATTAGAGGCTTAAGGAATGCTACTTTTCCATTTCATTTCACATTCGACATGAGCACCTATTTCTAGGGAGCTTCATTTCAATAAGATAATTGTACTTTTTATTTCCTCAAATGACGTTATTTTTCTCCAAGTTGACACTTGATACGGCGTGGACCTTGTCCTATAGATTTCCAGCTCCATCATTTTCTTTATGGAAACTAAAAAGATTAGGAAGAGTTGTGGTCACGACAACTTTCTTCACAAAGTAAATGCATTTATCATTTTATTAAAGAACGCGATCAGCATAAGTCAGATAAAGAAAATTAGTAATTTTCAATGTACTAACCTTTCTTGTTATATGTGTCGTTCAATGCTTTGGAAATTACATCAATCATCATAAGATACACTTGAAAGTCATTCTTGAGGTCCTCATTAATATGAGCAGAAACATGTTGTAGTGTAATTGTCAACGCCTTATTTCAAGTGTAGGGAATTTTTGAGATAACGCTAAAAATCAATTTTTCGGCCATTATTTGAAGATCTCTTTTCGCAATGTACTTGAAAACCAATTAAATTTATAAAAAAAGAAAAACGACTGCTATAAAGCGCTCAAAACATTTTGTTGGACAAAAATTAACCTAAGAAAAGGTGTGTCGTGTTCATTATAGTAAGGGTTGATCGTATGCTTCATGAAGAAGACGCCGTTAATTTTAGTCCAATATTTTTCGCCCAATTGGAGTGTTACCAATTTGCAAACCCTAATTCGTTTTCCTTTTTTTGTTTTTTTTACGGAACCTTAAATCCCATCTTCCCTTCTTTTTATACAATTATTTCGCTTTCAATTACTTTCTTTTTTTTTTTTACTTTTCTATCCTACCTATAGTCATTTTAAAGTGGCCGACATTACACTGTCAGCATTTCGACAATCCACATCAATAACGTGATAAATTTAAAAAGTAGAAATAGCTTTTGAAAAACAAAGGGAAGAGAAAGTCGAGGGACTAAAGGCCATATTAACCCCTCTTTTAATTGAAAACTTATATTCTTATTATTTGGCATTACACGAATCGTTTCCCCATAAAGTATAGAGGACTCTTGCTCTTCTCCCACTTTCCCAGGATCTCAGTTGGAGTTGTTGTTGGGCCGAATTCAATCCAGACAAAAAAACGGCCCAAATGGCGAAATCGGATGCTTACGCCTTACGCTTTCTTCATCTAAAGCTCAAGGTCTTCGCGACCGTTGCCTCTTGTTCAAACAGGAGTGCTGTCTTCAACTCATAACCATCACCGTCTTCTTCAGCCACTGAAGATGGTCGAGCCAAGTCCCCAAGATCCCGGAGCTCCACAACAATGGCGTCGTGGGAGCCGCTCTCTCTCTCTCTCTCTCTCTCTCTCTCTCTCTCTCTGCTTAGAGGGAAGAAGCTGTCCCGGAAGGTCGTCTTGCCTTCGCGAGCGTCCCCTCTCTCTGCGCGGGTTACGATCTTCCGAGGCGAAAAACGTGACCCCAAATGTTACTTTCCTTAGAGTCTCAAGTTCGGGCCTTGTTGAGAAGTCACGATGGTTTCTGATTGTGGGTTTCTTCGTTTGTGGATTGAAAACAGAACGGCTGAGACGTAAATACCGGCGAGGGGAAAAGCCCTCGTCCCTACCGATCTGAGCATCGCAATACCCGAAGGAAACATATGCTCAAATAGATAACGTCCAACTTCTTACCTCAAAACGTTCTCTCAATACCTTGTTTTGGATAATCTACGAGGGCTGAATCAAATCGCTTGTACATTTGTTGCTTCAGCGCCGGGATCAGGTTTGGCATGGAAGCATTCGATCGACATCGGTGCGGGCGTGATCAGTGCGGACTACAGAGGACCGGTTGGGGTAATCCTGTTCAACCTCTTGGACGTCGACTTTGAAGTGAAGGTGGGTGACAGGGTTGCGCAGCAGATCATTGAGAAGATCGTGACTCCCGATGTTGCGGAGGTGGAGGACGTGGACTCGACTCTGAGGGGCGAGGGCGGGTTTGGGTTGATGGTGGTGTGAGGCCCGTGTGTTAGGTTTTGGCAGTCAAATTTATTGTCTATGGGTTTATTTTCATTGGGTTTTATATTGTGCCTAGGATGCGCGCAGGCTGGTAGGAGCATTATGTTGGTGAGAAATCTTGTCGAACACTTGGTGTGTAAAAATCTGCTAATCGCTATGTCCTCAGCCTCTCTCTCTTTTATTGTGAAATTTGGATCCCGCTTTTTGAGTTGCTAATTTGCCGTGTTGAGCCTTGCGGCGAGTAATTAGCTAGTCAATTGCTGGCTTACGTATTAGTCCTAGGTGATGGTATTGGGCAACTATATAAGGGGATTCTCAGTGCTTTTACCTAAACTTCTTGGTTTAGTGCCATGATTATGGAATATGTGCGACATTGTTGATTTAGCGGATACACTATCTTGCAAATGATTTTTTTTAGGGTCTGACACCTCCTTTTGCATTATCTATTGGCATTAACTTTCCATGGCTATTAAATTATTCAAGTCGGCGAGATTTGGAAGAATCGCTTAAAAGATGTGCTTTTGGAACTCTTTATTGAATGAAGATTTGGGTTTATATTTCTGTGGAAGTTTAATGGTGCTCCTGCGTAAACAAAGAATGGGTAAAAAGCAAAAAGTTAGCCTGGGCTATCCTTTCTGGCAGGGTACTTGTATTTACTTTATGAAGTGAAATTGATCAACATCAGTGAGTCTTCAGCACCCAAGGAGTACAAAGTGAGTATCGACCATAACCCCTTAGCGTTGTCGCTTGCTCTCAGAAAAGAAAAAAAAAAGGAGGAGACAGCATACTCAATAGGTAGAAGTTGTTGAAAGATTACTTGGTAACTTTAAAGGAAACATTCAACTAAGATTAGTTATCGGTAAATATCTCCCTGATCCATCAAGTCAACGTAAGATCTTCTGATGTTGCATCCCATCAAGAACACTAATTGGAAGTTCTCATTAACAAAGAAGAGAAATAATTCTTTCAACTGAGTAGGAAAATAATGCACAAAGCTATGAGGATAAGCTGGACATTGTGGTACTATCTAGTGGGCAGTTACTAGCAAAATACTTTGAACTTGTACTTTTACAAGATGGACCCTCCCTTTGGAATTGAAGTAAACATCTGTGAGTGAAGGATTGAAAGATAGATATCCTTAGTCTATGATGATAAAGAGAAAAGGCACATTGTTTAAGTTGAGTAGTTTTATTTTATTTCATCATCTCTTCAGGGTTTAGTGAAGTCAGTAGTTGGTGCTCCTCTTTGATTTTATTTCTGGTTAGTAGATTTGGTTTACGATTTGAATTATCTTGTATAGGGATGGATTCTTTTTGTTTTAGATCGACAAGCATTTCCTGGGAAAATTACCAAAAAAGTCCTAAACCTTTTGCAATTGTGCCAATTCAGTCCTAAACTTTTTACAATTGTGCCAATTCAGTCTATCCGGCCACTTTTGGCTGGCCGGCGCTGACGTGGCCAGATCTGGGCGAGGGCCCAGCTCGCCTCGCCGGAGCTGGGCCCTCGCCGGCGAGCCTCCCCCTGGCCTGTCCGACCAGGGGGGAGAAGGAAAAACAAAAAAAAAGAAAAAAGGAAAAAAATTCGAAAATAATAAAAATATTGCCACGTGGACGCTGGCCGGCGCCACGTCAGCCGGCCGGCGGCCACGTCAGCGCCAGGCGGCCAAAAGTGGCCGGATGGACTGAATTGGCACAATTGTAAAAGGTTTAGGACTGAATTGGCAAAAAAAAAAAAGGTTTATGACTGAATTGGCACAATTGCAAAAGGTTTAGGACTTTTTTGGTAATTTTCCCGGCATTTACTTGGTGCCTTACTTATTATACCTTTTACATAAAAAAGAAACCGGGGAGAAAAAAAATTGAGATTGGGTGCTAGAGGAGTGATTCAAAATGCTAATTCTTGTTAGTAGATTTGATTTAGGATTTGAATTATCTTGAACTGTTGTTGTGCGTAGTTGTAACATGCCATCTATGTATGACTATTTGGAAAACGAGTGTATGTTGGCATATCTATTTGGGTATAGGCTATATGCAATCTCTAGAGATGCAAGAATCCAGGCCTGGTGCTTGTGCTCTAGAATCTAGTATTGGCGAATCCTCTTCAGTTTCTCGCCTTGTGTTTCTGGATTCTTCCCCATGTATGCCCCAAATTTTCACATCTTCTCGTTCTCCTACAAATGCATGAATCACATGACTCTTTTCTCAAGTCAAGTTTAGAATACATTTCATGATATGGGGATAAATAGTGCTCGTGCTGGTTGCAAGTCTTTTCAATTGGCTTGGATACTCTTGATAGAGATAACTGTAGTTATATTGCACCTTGCTATTACCCCTTTCGGTTCCTTTTTTAACTGTATTTTCTTTCTAGAATGAATAATTTTCTAATCAAATAGTTCAACTCAAAGTTTTAATCGTGCTCTAGACATAATCTAGTCATTGACTTGATTGGATGGTGACATATGCATTGCTATTGCTATTTTCTTATCAACAGGCTATGACAGCAATGTTGCAGCAGGCTATGCAACATATTGACCAGAGTCCTGATCTTGAGACCAAGATAGAGCTTATTAGGACACTTAACTCTGTCGCTGCTGGAGGTGAATATGTGAAATCAAATTCTATTGCAGCTTATGTTCATGAGCAATCTGTTTTGGTTTCTTGGTTCCTATAGCTAGTTTCATTCTGCAAATATATGTCGAAATTGAGAGAGCATGGTTGATCAAGAAACTTAAAAGAATAAAGGAAGAACAGGATCTCATAGCAGAAGCTACTTATTTGATGCAAGAGATTGCAGGAACAAGAAGTTGACTTCTGTGGTCACTTATCTTGTGATTGGTTTTTTCCTGTCCAACATTGGGTTGAATTGCAGTGGAAACTTTTGGAGCAGTGGCAAAGACGGAGAAAATTGCCTTTATCCTTGAACAAGTACATGATTTTTGTAGTGCTTTTTGCCGTTTATGCACTATTACTATGATTGGTTCTCTGATCAATGGATTTTGCAGGTTCTTTTGTGCTTTGATTGCCAGGATTCTGTCTGTGCACAAATCCTTTCCAGGAAGATCATCCCCTGAGTGTTTGATGCAGATCCTTCCAAGAGAAGAAAAAACTTAAAGAAGGTGAAAATATTATGGAAGAAGCACCAGCTGATATTCTGTCACTTACTGGAGTTGAAACAGATATAATATGAATTCATGGTACGGTGAATTTGTGTTTTACTTATTCAATGTTGTGTCTACTATCTGTTTTAACTAAAAAATTTCGTCAATCAAGCCCTACCTTGTATTCAGTTTGCGGTTCGAGCCATGGCTTTATTCATCTAACACGTACTCTTTTTCCTTTCTAGCTTTTTCACAACCTCTGACTTTTGAGATGTACTTAATGGATTTGAACACACATCTACCTCGCATTCATGTGGTTAACGATTTAGGTACTATACACATTGCACTGATTACGTTGAGATTTATCGATGCTATAAGACGATATATGAGATTCCATCAGTGAAGGGAAAATTCAGAGCAGTGGAAACCAGTGAAGCTCTTTCATATGAGGCTTTGTTAAGTCTTCACTGAGGATTTTAAGGCACAGCTCTTCATTCTTTAATTTAATTAATTACAGGTTCAAAGGAAAATCTGCTGGTACTTAGTTCAGTCACCACATGATCGTATCCAGTCAAGCCTCAATGCCACTTTAGAAGATAAAAATCTTTCAGAAATCCAATTCAGGTACATCTTTGAATTGTTTCTAGGTAATTGGTTGTACATCTTGCAATGTCTCAATAATGTGCCATAGAATTTGGTTGACTGTGCCTTCGTTATTTTAATGCAGGTTGCTGCTAAAAAAACAAATTGGTCACCGTGGAGGTTATCCAATGAACGATCTTTGGAGTACTTTCAAAGATGAATTTGAGAATGAGAAACACATGCTCAGAGTCGCACTTGTTGTGAAGGCAGCAGAAGATCTTAGACAGATCATCGAACATGTAATTACAGAACTTTGTCATTTTTGTTCTTTTCATTGGATCATCATTCAGATTGACTCACTCTATTTTCTGCAGAATGTTATTACCGTTTCCAAGTATTACTCGAGGATTACCTCGAAGGGACTTGCAGAGCTGCAATGCCTCGGCATACAGGTTGATTATGCTGAACATCTGTTGATATTCTTTATCAATGTCAATCTTTATGAATGATTGCCTAGACACCTCATTTAACCCTGACCAGCCTCTCTGCCCATGATCCCTGTGGGACATGGTTGCTGGAATTGGATACAAATCCCAAAAAAGTGGAAAAGAAGTTTTGGTGCCTTGTAAGCCAAAGGTTTGTCGTGAGGTTGGGAATGTTGCCTTCGTAGTTTTGTTCCGTAAACATTTCTGACCGACATATATGTGTAGACTTCACTAAGTCAACTTCTGCTCATAGAATTTGTTGTAGCTATAAGTGTAATTGTCTGGCACTTTGAAACTGTTTCTTGTCCCAGGGAGCCTAGAATTCTAATGGTCTTTAGAAGGGTGGGAGGGGCTCTGCTATCACTCACCATTTCCTGTGTTACCAAAGTATATCTCGCGATTAGAGCTTTCTTACTGTGTTCAGAAAATCTATGTAGCTGAATCACTCAAGGAAAAGAGCTCTGTTTTTGGGGTTCTGTTACCGCAGTCGTAGAGAGCTTTAATCATTCTATATTACCGTTTTAGGAAGCTGAGAAGCATCTCTCCGAAATGGTTGTTTCCAAGTCCCTGGTGGCAAAGATAGACTGGCCGATGGGAGTTGTCTCTTTCCAGACGACAAAGGACAGCAATATCATCTTGAACTTGTGGGCGACAAATTTGGAAAATCTCCCGGATCTTGTCGAGAAAAGCTGCCACCAAATCCACAAGTAAACCATGGCTCATAAGGCTGCTTTGAGAGCTTGAAGATGTTCCTAGTTGAATGAATGATCTCTCTCCCCTTGAGCCTCCCTCTCTCTCACCAAAAGAGAGAAGCTGAAGAATGCAGCTTCACACTGTCCTCTAAAGTGGGGACTAAAGATGTTCATCATAGAACTCTCGTGTAGTTTGTCTTAAATTTGATTGCATATTTTGCAGGTGGACCAGATGTGGGCCTTGTTTTGGATTGAAATGATACACTGAGTATACTTTCTCCATAAGTTGCTGTCTGATATCGACATTTAATTAATTTCATCAATAAGTTGTTGTCTGATATCCCTTTTCTTTACAGAAGGCAAAGAGTTTGAATATCATGTTATCGAGTGAAATGGAAAAAGAGTGACTCCTATGGGAACCATTTGAGTAGTTCTTGAAAAAAGTATGACATTCCAAAGTTTACATCAGCGCAAATAATATAGAAGAAATAGCACAATTATGTATAAGTTGATCATGAACGTTGTGTTGAATGCATTTTTCAATTTACACTTGAGTTGATAGAACAGTCGGCCCAAGTGGTAAATATCTAATCAAGTCTAATTCAAGAAATATTATTTATTATCCTATATACTAGCAGTAAGTAACTCTCTACGTTTTGTCCTCGGGATTTGTACATCATTGCCATGCCTGAGAACATTTGGGTTCAACTGACATTGTAATCCGATTTAAAGGTCTCAAAGTCGTAAGTTTGGGTGAAAGTGGACCGAAAAATGTATGGGAAGGAATTCAAGAAGTACTCTTGAAAGAATGACCAAGGTGGAGCCAATGTCTGGGGCGTTCATAATCATAAACAAATATTTGGGATGGACAGACCAAAATATTTGAGACATTTGTGGCATAAGTTTTGTCATATTGACGCTTTTCGTTAATCATTTATTAGGATCTTGAGGAGAAGCTTCAATTGTGTTCATTTACAGCTTGAAACCTATAAATGGACGTAAGTGATTGTTGACTCATTTTCTATGCTTGGTTTTTCCACGTATTTTTCAAATTTCCACACCTTTTAAGAATATTTCGGAAAAAGAATAAAATAATAAGGAAAACCCACCTGCGCATAGCCGAGTTGGTGGGCGCTTTCCTTCCCTCCTCAGAGGTTCTGGGTTCGAATCCCCGCTCGGTTCCGTAATTTAAGTGGGGGGCCCTGGCGGTGGGTTGCTGGGCTAGTCTCCCCCGAAGTATAGGCGCCCCGATTACCTGTGCGGGCTCGTCCCCGGGGAATGGTGACGGATCCTCGGTTACCAAAAAAAATAAAATAAAAATAAGAGAAAGTTAGGAATACAAAATGATTGTCGGTATTAAGTGTCAAATATTTATCTGATTCGACATTGCCTGTATTTGGTTTGCTACACTGGTAAATAAGAATCATACAAACTTAAATGGACATGACGCAATTTAAAGCTGTGTAGGCAACGGGGAATCGCTGTCAAAGTTGAAAATATTTAATGTAGTGATAACAAGGCTTGCGTCAAGTTGCCTAATAGAAGAGAATTAGAATCGGGATTAGGAAGCTGGGGGTCTTATCAATGTTGGCATGCTGTGCTATTCTTCTATTGCCAATTAATACTGTTCCGCGACAAGATCTTCAACTAATCAAATCAAATCGTGGCATTTGGTATGTCTCTTTATATAGCCGATAGTATTAATTATACATCAAATCATAATCCTAAATTAGGTATATCCATTTCTTGCATTCCGTCCATCTTCAATTAAAGGAACTAGTGTGGATCTTGTCGTAGGACATGGGGTTGTGATTGTACAATTGAGACTTTGAGCAACAAGGTTTTACCCGTGTATGTATTGAAACTTTCGACTCGAAATTATTTCTGAATTTGTGTATTACATAACTTATTGGATTTTCTTTTCTTTCTTTTTTTGGATAGCGAGCACACAGGATTTCCTTTTCAAATCACTAATTGATCATGTGATATAACGTTCAATTTTTAATCTTCTTGCTTGCAAGCTTTTGATCCTAGAAGGATGAGTTGTGCTTAGTCACTCACATACTAAGCCATTGAGCTTTTTTTTCTATATTATCTAATCATCTCAAGTTCTGAAGAAGCTTAATACTGTGCTAAGGAAAAATGCACTTTGGTAGAACCGGTAAGCCGAAAATGTTAACATGAAATAAAAAGCTAAACACCAAATGAAATAAAAAGGAAAATGGTATCAATAAATAATTATTCGACATTGGAGAACCCATTGGCCAAGAATTTCTAAATGTGACTCTGAATATATAAACCTGCGATTCCACTCACTTGGGAGGAGCCAACTTGTAAGTCTATGAAAATGAAAAAGAAGAGTCAACATAATCACCTTGTGTATGTAATGAGATGATTTAACAGAATCACCTCATGCACCTCAATCAGTTGTTGATTGTGCAAATAAGATCGTTGTAATCGTCTAACTTGCCCAAGCAAGGACAAACAAAACCTTCCATATTTACCATCAATCAATTGTCAGTTGCCTTGATAATGCAAGATCGATTGTCAGTTGTCTCGATAATGCAATATCCATATACTATAGATTCTCCAGTCATTGTTGATATATCAAATGTCCAAATATGCTTATTAGTTCCATTCAAATCGTGATATAGAGTCTCACCCAATTCTGCTCTTTCATAAAACGTGTGCATCTAATCTTCAGCCGACCTTACTCCGAGCATCAGTATTGCTCGTTGGTTTTCTTTTGAACTTCTTTTCAATTTCTTATTTACTTGGAAAAGCAAGTCAAGTCAAGGATCACGTGCATTGGTAGGTTCACCGCACCTTCCGCATAATGCTGTGGAAATTACGCCTGTAATAATTGCCCTTTGCTTTTTATTTTCCAATTATTTTATTAATAAAAAAAGCAAGCCAAGTCGAAGTCAAGTCGTGCTCGCTTTCAAACAACGCACCTTCTGCGCAATGCTTTGGAAATTACGCGTGCAATAATTGCTCTTTTCGTGCACCATGCATCGCAGTGGTTCAGTTAGTTGAAGTGTCTTGGACCGTTGGATGGCAAGAACTCAGCATTGTTCAAACATGCATAGTAGAGAGTGTTGTGATGTCATTTCTCTCTATACCTTTTGTCACCATAATGTGTTCGATGTCAACTAGTTTTGACATTTCTCTCAACTCTTGGCATGCATGTGGGTAATACAGTGAGAAGCTTGAATTATTGAGGATAATGCGTTTCTTCGACGACTCTATCAAAAATCCGATTTGATGGAAGTTTTCTTTACATAGTCGCTTCTCATTTTCAATTTACTATTGGTACTTCCAAGTGGCAACTTTTGTTTCTCTGTTTAATTTGTTTTCGCTTTTATCTTATGGCCAGCAAAGTATAAAAACCATCACATATTTCCTATTGATCTCGACATTTGCTCGATTTCATCACTCCGTTGTTGTATGAAATCCCTTTTCTTTACAAAAAAAGAAGTGACGGGTTTGAGTATCGTGTCATAGAGTTAAATGGTAAAAGAGTAAATCCTGTGGGAACCATTGAGCAGTTCTTCTTGAGAACATGTTTGAATGGAACAAACAAAATATGATTCACTCCTTAAGTTTTCCATTACACTTTTATGCAGATCTCCAAGTCTAGTAAGTATCAGATGTATGGCAAACTCTCATGGAAGGATGAGAAGCAACTTAAGCGAAAAGTACTCATCTCTTCTTCACTATGAAAGCTGATTACTTCATTAATGTCGGTGTGCAGAGCTTTGGATACTTCATCTACTTTCATGTTTTGTAAATGTATAAAAAGGCTCATGTTAAATACAACGGTCTGAAATTTACATCAACGCAAATAATATAAAAGAGAATATGCACAAATGTGTTAGTTGATTATGAATGTCATGTGGAATGTGTTTTCCATTTGTACACTTGAGTTGATAGAAAAGTCGTCTCGATAAATAATTTCTAATTAAGTCAAATTCAAGAAATCATAATCTGACTTACTAGCAATAAGTGACTCTCTATGTTTTGTTGTTGGGACTAGTAGATCATTGCTATGCCAGAGAACATGTGGGTTCAACGACATTGTAGATTGATTTAAAGTCATCAGTTGGAGTTAAAGTGGACTGTAAAATGCACGTGAAGAAATTTGAAAAGTACACTTGTCAGAATGAGCAGCATTCATGAAAAAATTTGGGTTGAACGCACTAAAATATTTTAGATATTTGCATCATAAGTTTCGTCATATTAATGCAATTCATTAATAAGTAATTAGGATCTTGAGGAGAAGCTTAAATTGTGTTCCCTTACAGCTCGAGACCTATAGATGGACGTAGGTGATCACCAACACATTTTCTAGGGTTGTCCTTTCCACAGATTTTTGAATTTCCACACCTTTTAAAAATATTTCAGAAAATGAATGAAAAATAGGGGGGCAAAATAGGAATTCAAAATGTTTGTGTCGGTATTAGGTGTCAAATATATATCTGATAGATAAGTATCACACAAAGTCAAATCGACATGACGAGTTAAAAGCCGTGAAGACGTTAGCAAACCATTACCAAAGATATTTTATCTAATGACAGCAAGGCTCATGTGGAGTTGCCTAGCACAACAATGTAAGATTCAGAATGAGATGTTGGGCGTCCAATCGGTGTTGGCTATTTGGTATAACTCTTGTTTATAGTTTATACTGCTAATTATCTATCCAATCATAACACTAAATTGGGGATATGCATTTCATGCATTCCGCACATCTCTAATTAAAGAAATCTGTTTGGACCTTGTTGGAGGACATGTGGTCGTGATAGTACAATTGAGACTTCAAGCGTGTGTTGAATCTTCTGACCTCAGATTACTTCTGAATTTGTGTATTGTAT